AATCATTGATTATAAGACGAGCAGAAAATATACAAGATGAACCTTAGAGCATCTTATGTCGCCAGAAAGGAAGAAGGTACACACACAATGTTGGAGGTATGTCAAAGAGAAAGGATAAAGGAGTCAACTTAAAGAGCTACCAATGGCCAAAGCTGAAACAATTAAGCAATGAAATTTAAGTTAATACACCACCCTTCAGGAGGTAGAACAGAACTCATCACCACTAAGTGTGGGAGGTACATAGTGACTTTCTTCCAGACTAGAGGAGAAAAGAGTAACTTTACAGTGCAGAAAACAAACATTGCCTCAAGTCAGATGAGCAGGGTTAACAGCAACACCGATAAGTCATATTGGTAGTATATATGACTTATACTAATATATGATGAGAATGACACTTTGCCCCTGTGGTCTTCCTTCCAAAAGCATATTACATTCCTGGCCTAACTGTAAGAAAAACATCAGACAAATCCCAAAAAACATTCTATAAAAATACCTAATCATGGCTGGGCACAGTGGCTCATGCCTGTAATCCCAGCACTTTAGGAGGCTGAGGAGGGCAGACTGCCTGGTCCCAGGAGTTCGAGACCAGCATGGGCACCATGGCGAAACCCCATCCCTACAAAAAGTACAAAAATTAGCAGAGCATGATGACACACATTTTGTGGGCCCAGCTACTCCAGAGGTTGAGGTCAGAAGATCACTTGAGCTCAGGATGTCGAGGGTGCAGTGAGCTGAGATCACACCTCGGTGACAGAGGAAGAGCCTGTCTCAAAAAAACCAACAAACAAAATCTGACCAGAAATCTTCAAAACTGCCAAGGTCATTAAATACAGGGAAAGTCTGAGAAACTGTCACAACCAAGAGGAGCTAAGGAGACATGATTACTAAATGCAATGTGGTATCCTGGATGGGATCCTGGGGCAGTGAAAGAGCATTAAGGAAAAAAAACTTGTGGAAATCTGAATAAAGTATGGTCTCTGTAATAATGTATCAATATTGGTTTATTAATTGTGACAAATTTACCACAGGAATGTAAGATGTTAATAATATGGGAAACAGTGTAGAGCAGGCAGGAACTCTGTACCATCTTTGCAATATTTCTCTAAATCTAAATTTTAAAGTCTATTTTAAAAAATTATAACAAACTTAAGATCAACTGCATCCCTGGAATTTTACTCAGTGCATCCAGGATATAAAAGATACTTCAAACATAGTTTTTGCCTTCAAGAAGCTTGTTGTCACACTGTGAAGACAAATGCTCATGAAACTCGTATAAAATACAAAAATAAGAAAAAATAAATTGAAGAGTAAAAAGTATATTAAGAATATAAAGAAGGTCTAGAATTATCAGGAAAGACTTGCTCAAGGTGATAAAACTTGAGTTTGTACCTTAAAATGTAATTCAGAGTAGCAAGGTTAAAAAAATACACATAAATGAATGAATGGCTGAGCATGGTGGCTCATGCCTAGAAACCCACCACTTTTGGATGCCAAGGCAAGGAGGATCACTTGAGCCAGGAGTTCAAGACCAGCCTAGGCAACATATGAGACTCTGTCTCTCTATCTTTAAAAAAAAGAAAGAAATGAAAACATTTAGCTCTGAAAAGTGAAGACTTAAATTGGAGACATAATAGCTGTGCTCAAATACTTTAAGGGTCATGTGGCAGAACCAACAGAGTTATATCATATACCCATTTAACTTACAAGCCAACTTCTGACAAAATGTGACAAATGCTCAAGGACAAAGAAAGTGACAGCTGTTCAGTAGAGCCACAACAGGAAATGCCAATAAGGAAAGACAGGAAGCAGGTGGCTAAGTTCTCTATAGCTTCTCAAAGGACAGTATATATGTGGGCCCAAAGAAGTAAAAATCAGATTATAATTCCACAAATGTTTATTGACTATCTTAAGTGCTGGGCTCTTTCAAATATATTATCTTGTTTAATATTCACAACACATCTATGAGCACGTATTAACGTAATAGCAGCTGAATATAAAAATAGAATTAAATCCTGCATGGAAACAAGAACATATCAAAATTCTACACCATCCCCCACTCTGATAGAGCTTCCACAGTAGTTTTAAAAAGCAAAATAGTCTGAAAGTCCAGATATCTATATAACAATTTATTTCCTCTTGCTTTTTCCCTCAGTCAAGCTCTGTGGCTCTCAGCCTTTAATATTCGTAAGAATTTTACATACACAAAAACATGCATATCGTACTTTTTGAGCAATTTATGGAATTTTCAAGCAGAGTTTTCATCTTATGTGATTTCTGCCTCATGTACTAACTTTCGGACCTAACCGTACGATGAGGTGCAAGTCCACTGCAATCTTACTCCATGGGTATTGTAAGGCAGGATCAGTAAGAGGAGATACAAAGGTACCATCCTATCACAACATGAAGAAGAACATTCTAACAATTCTAACAAGGACACAAAGATTAGAATGACATGCTATGTGGGGAAGTTCAAGGCTGGAAAACAAAAGCAGCTCATCTGTACCTGCGGACCTCTGCACTCACTGTTTCATTTACCAGGAAAGCACTCCCATTTTTCAGGTCCCAACTCAAGTATCTTCTACTTAACTTACAAGCCATTTAACTTACAAGCCAACTTCTACTTAGTGATGCCTCCTCTCACTCAATAACCCTCCACCCACCTCTCAATCATTCACTTGTCACATCAGCTTGTTTTATTTTCTTCATAATTCATATTAAGGGTCAGCAAACTTTTTCTATAAAAGACTAGATTATAATCTATAGGCCAAATCCAGTTTGCCCCATGTTTTCTATGGCTAAGAATGGTTTTACATGTTTAAATGGCTGGGGGAAAATATTTTTTAAAACTCATAATATTCTGTGATATGTGAAAATTTTATGAAATTCAAATTTCAGTGTCCCAGGTTTAACTAGAACATAAACATGTTTGTGCACATACTGTCTGTAGCTGCTTTTGTCCTACAACAGAATAGTTGAGAAAGAGATCATATGGCCCAAAAAGCCTGATACGTACTATACTTTCTGGTCCTTTACCAAAAGTTTACCAACCACTGATTTATATCATTATCTGAAATGATCCTATTTGCTTGTTTTTTGTATATTCCGCATTCCCATATATAAAGAATAAAGCTTAATTAGGGAAGAGACCTTGAGTGTTTTGTCCTGCCACTGTAGCCCACTACTTAGAAAACATACTGGAACAAAGTAAGGGCTCAATAAATATTTGATAAGTAAATTAATGAATGGTCCATAAACGCCCCTCTGAGGAACTTAAACTTGAGTCCTCAGCCATTATAGGCTCTATAAATTTATGATAGGCAGAAGTACTCTTGCAGGAAACAGGAAATATTCTACTTCAAAGAATTTAAAGTAACAGTGGGGTTCTTCATCAAATTGTAGACTACAGGTCTTTTTGTGCTCATAAAACAGTCTCTCAACTACTGCAAGGTGTCACAACATTGTCAGTGGCCTGTGCTTCTGTTTAAGATGCAAATGTTCTGAGAAATCTCATTCCTATACACAGTACACAGCACCAACACCGTATCAAATCTTAATCAATGCTCATAACAGATCTACATCATATGCTAATGAAGTTTTAATGTCTAAATTTTTTCTATGATGCTGATCAGCAATCTATAAGCAGCTCAAAACTCTTCATAAATTAAAAGGTTACCACCCACAGACCAGAAGCAGCTTTTTAATCTTTCTACACTAGCCAGAGAGTGGGTGTGTGATTTCAAAAAAAAAAAAAAAAAAAAAAGCAAGCCAACTCTGTTGGTAGAGGACAAGGTATTGTTAAGTTAAAATCCCATCTATAAGCATCATTTTGTCATATGACACTAGTAAAACTACCACCTACTCACAATTTGAGTTTCAATCTTCTAATACACAGAGAAAAAAAATGTATCTACCTCCTGGAACAAATCAAGGTTTTGTTTTATTTTAAAGCAGCTATCTGAGATTTAAGCCCTGGATTTTTTTTTTTTTTTTTAACAGAATAAACTAATTTAGGAATTCACACCTTTTATAGAGATGCTTACGGTACAGGTACCTGATGGCTAGGCTCTACCAAGACTAACGTGCAACGTGTCACAAAAGCAAACGGGCGTTGGGGGGACGGCGGGAGGCGGGGTGAGGGGAGGGGGGAGGGGAGGGGAGGGGAGGGGAGGGGGGTTGGTAGCCAACAGCTCCAGTGGGCAGCTTCAAGAAACTCCGCGGCAGATTCACCTGGGGAATCCTCACCAAGAATGTTGTTAAGGGACGAACCAAACCAACCACGGATCAACACCATCCCCCTTTGCTGAGGCTGAAATAGCAGAGATTCGCAAGCTATAACCCCATCTCTAGCCCTCCAGGGAAGGTGTAAGTCGCCGTACCCCTCTCCCCTATCCTACGAGCGTTCACGGGGGCCTCCCGAGGCCAGGCCCCGCCAGCTCCACCTCCCATCCCACCTCCCACCACCTATTCTCCCCAGTTCGCCGGGCTCCCTCCTCGCCTGGAACGACGGCTCAAAACCAAAACAAAAGGTGCAAAACTGGTTTCAGGTGGAAACGGCTGAGTCCCGGTGGCTCACTTCTGGGACGCCAGGGCGATCAAGGGCTCCTAAAACCCCAGACCCCGACGGGAGCCGGCCGCTCCACAGTCCCTCCGGCCTCGGCCCGACTTCTCGCACGCCCCTCCCTCACCTCGGCCCTGGGACGCCGGGAAGGGGACGAGGCGAGGAGCTGGAGAGGGGAACCCCAGGGTCGAAATGACAGCGTAACGAGCCGGGAAAGGAAAGAGGCCCCGTGGGATGCTGGGGGTCGAGTCCTAGGCCCGGGGCTTCAACCTCTAACGGGGGCAACGGCGGGTCCGAGCCGCGCCAGGCCGCGAGCGGGAGGCCAGGCCTGCGCCGGCTGTGCCGCCGGGCCACGCTCCCTCACGACTGTCCCCACCCACCGCGGAGGGCCGTCAGGGGGCCGCGACCGCCGCCAGCGTCCGGGGCGGGGGCGCTCACTCACCGGCGGGGAGGGGAGGAGCAGCCGGCGTCTCCGCCAGCGCCGTCGCTCGAGCTCAAGCGCCTGCTCCTTCCACTGCGGCCGCCGCGCCCGGTCCATCCCCCACAACCACCCCCCTCCCGGCCCTCCCCCCGCGCCGCCTCAGCCTCCGCCGCCGCCTCAGTCACCGCCACCGCCGCCACCGCCTCAGCCCCGGCGCGGGAGCGCGAGCCGGCGCGAGGGAGCAAGAGCGCACGCGCCCCCTCCGCAGCCGCCACCGCCCACCACCTCCGCCCCCCGGCCGGCGGCGCACGCGCAAGGGACCGGACGGACGGGCGCGCGCACGCCGCAGGGGGCGGGGATGGGTTGTGGAAGCCGTGGCCCCGCCTCTAGCCCGCCCACCCACGCGGTTGCTGGGCTGGTGGAGCTGCGCGGTGCGGGTAGTACTGAGGGGCTCCAGGTGAGCTCCTCCCGGCACAAAGCTGTAGGAACCGAGCGAGCCTCGCCCTACGAACAACACCCCTGAGTACTAGGGGGTTTCGTCGGATTTTCTGTCTGCCGCTCTGGATCACACGTTTGTATCTACCTACCTTGAGTCGCAAGGCCTTCGTTCCACCTGGCAGGCTGCTTGGAACGAGCAGACTGTCATTATTTGGCGCTAGATATTACCACTGAAGGAATCGTAAGCAGCCACCAGCCCATCTCTTTATAATTCCTGTTTTCTCACTTTATTTTTTCGTTCATGACTTATGTAATGAGGCTTCTTCCGTGTTCAAGGAGCTGGGAGTACCATATGGGGTCAACGGAGTCCCTGGCCTCGTGAAGTTTGAGATCTGGTGGAGAAGGAAAACGTTCATGGGAGAATCAAACAAAATTAAGTTTTCAGTTAGTAAAAATCCTCTGAGAGGTGTATGGTACTAAGAGAATCTTTATGAGGGGAACTGATTTAGTTGAAGAGAAAGAGGAATTGAGTTGGGAGGAGTTCGTTGCTAAGTGTTGAGGTTTTGGCATGGCCAGAATGGGGAGCGCTAAAAAACATTGAATGTGGAGTAGACGCGAGTGTGGGAAGAGGTAGGCAAAAACAGATGAGGATTTCGGATTGATTGATTGATTGGAGACGGAGTCTCGCTCTCTCACCCAGGCTGGAGTGCAGTGGCGTGATCTCGGCTCATTGCAACCTCCACCTCCTAGGTTCAAACGAGTCTCCTGCCTCAGCCTCCCGAGTAGCTGGGATTACAGGCGCGCGCCACCACACTCAGCTAATTTTTTTTTTCTTTGTATTTTTAGTAAAGACAGGGTTTCACCATGTTGGCCAAGATGGTCTCTATCTCCTGACCTCGTGATCCACCCACCTTGGCCTCCTAAAGCGCTGGGATTACAGGCACGAGGCACCGCACCTGGCCCATTATGTTTGTTTTTAAGTTACTTAGATAGCAGTGTGAAGAGTGGTCTGATGGGAGTCTCAAAGCTGGGGCAGGAGTGCCAGTTAGGAGGCCACTGGCCAGGTAGTCAATGCAAGGTAGGAAGGTAGTGGCAGAGACGAGCACTATTTAGTGGTAAAATGGACAGGACATGGCAATGAACTAAATGAGTAGTGAAGGAGAAGGAGGTGGCAAGGTTAACTTAGATTTGAGGTTGTTAGAGGGTGCATTTATAGATTTCAGAAGCACTGAAGGAGCCCCCTGAGGAAGATAACTCAAAATGGATGATAAACCTAAATTTAAAAGCTTAAACTATTAAAAAAAATTTTTTAGAAGAAAACATAGAAAAAGCATTTGTGACCTTGGGATAGGCAAAGATTTCTTAGGACAGAAAATGTATGAACCATAAGAAGTGATTCACAGCCTGGCTCACGCATATAATCCCAACACTTTGGGAGACTGAGGCAGGTGGATCACTTGAGCTCAGGAGTTCAAGACCAGCCTGGGCAACATGGCAAAATGCTGTCTCTACAAAAATTAGCTGGGCGTGTTGGCACGTGCCTGGAGTCTCAGCTACTTGTGGGGCTGAGGAAGGAGGATCCTTGAATCTGGGAGGTGGAGGTCGCAGCGAGCTGAGATGGTGCCACTGCACTCCAGCCTGGATGACAGACTGAGACCCTGTCTCAAAAAAAAAAAGAAAAAAAAAGTGATTGATAAATTGGAACTCTATCAAAATTAAAAACTGGTGCTCTTTGAGAGATACCATTAAGAAAATTAAAAAGCAAGCCACAGGTGGAGAGTTTGCAATAGAAAGCATTAAAAAAAAAGTCTTGTATCCAGACTACATAAAGAATTGTTATAAATGAATAATAAGCCAACCCAATAAGTCAGTGGGCAAAGGCTTTAATAAATAATTCATAAGATTAAAAAATGGCCTATAAACAATGAAGAGATAATCAACATCTTTAGTCAACTAGGGATTTTTCCAATTAAAACCACCATACTCTCATTAGGATAGCTAAAATGTAAAAAGACTGTGATCCAGCAATCACACTCCTACACATCTCCTTAACCATACTTGATCTCTAAAGGCCAACAATAACAGATCAGGGACCCTGTAATCCCAGTCCTTTGGGAGGCCAAGGCAAGAGGATTGCTTCGGCCCAGGAGTTCAGACCAGCCTGGGCAACCTAGTGAGACCCCCATCTCTACAAAAAAAAAAAAATTTTTTTTTAAATTAGCCTGTATGGTAGTGTGCACCTGTAGTCCTAGCTACTCAGGAACCTGAGGCAGGAGGATCTCTTGAGCCCAGGAGTTCAAGGCTACAGTGACCTATGATCACACTACTGTACTCCAGCCTGGGTAACACAGCAAGACCCTATCTCTTAAAAAATGTTTGTGGCCACGTGCGATGACTCACACCTGTAATTCCAGCACTTTGGGAGGCCGAGGCAGGCCAATCATGAGGTCAGGAGTTTGAGAACAGCCTGGCCAACGTGGTGAAACCCTGTCTCTACTAAATATACAAAAGTTAGCCGAGTGTGGCAGTGTATGCCTCTAATCCCAACTACTTGGGAGGCTGAGGCAGGAAAATTGCTTGAACCTGAGAGGCAGAGTTTGCAGTAAGCAGAGATCTTGCTAATGTACTCCAGCCTGGGCTATAGAGTGAGACTATGTCTCAAAAAGAAAAAAATTTTTTAAAGACAATAACAAAGTCATACTTTCACTTAACATGATATAACTATCCTGCATACTATTGAAAACATAACAATACTTTCCCCAAGCGGATGCAAAGTCCTTGGGTAATGTTCCTTCTCCACCTTTCATGTCCTGAAACTTAATACTACAATATAAAGTTGCCTATTATTAATACATTTCCATTGCGTAATAGCAACCAAATTTCCTGCTTAGTAATCAAGATCAGTCACTTCAGCCAGCAGAGGTACTTCCTGCTTTACCTGTTGATTCAGAGGCATGAAAGGCCCAAAGTGGCCAAGTGGCCATCTCAACTTCCAATTCAATGGAAATGTTGTTGTGTCTCCTGGTGGAAGCATTCCTTCTTTTGGAACAAAGACCTGTGGGTCCGAAGAGCTTCTGACCATTTCTACTTTCAGGTAAAATGAACAACCAAGTACACTGCTCAAAGTTCTCCCAACTGGAAGATTTTTTTTTTCACCGTTATTCTTCAGGGGTGTCCCAGAAAGGGACAGTAGGTTTGTTTTCACCTGGTGCTTGCATATTGTGCAGAACCATCATAAACCAGGGCTACAAACCACAACTGAGTTTTCCCTTCTTCAGTCAACTGTTCAACATGAGGCCATAAGTGCAGGCTGGGAGAGAGAAGGTAATGTAGCAGGAGTGGGGTTTGGGCCATTTCCGTGTGCAATTTACCTATACCTTTAGGGCCCATTTAAGCCCAATCTCATATATACCACTTCAGTTTGATGACGGAGTGTTGCTGTGCATGCACAACTTTATAGCTTGGTGGATCAGATAACACTTGGGTCATGATGGGCAGCTCAGGTCACATGGTAACTTGATGATTCCCCCCACTTAAGTGTTCAGTCTCTGCTGAGGCCCAGCAAGCCAAAGGTTGCTTCTCAAGAGGAAAGTCCTTACCTGCAGGGGATGGTGGGGCTTTGCTTCAGAATCTTAAGGGTCTGCAATGTGATTCACCTACAGTGGCTGGGCAAAGGCTCTAAACAGCATCTCTATCAGTCTCTTGCCGAATGAGACTCAGGGTTGGTTTTCAGAAATCATGGCCCTAAGGGTTCCTTTCAGGACAGATACAGAAGCTTCCAGGTCATCTATGCATAACTTAAAGCTTTAAACACTTAAAGCTGGGAATTTGAAACCCTGAGCTCATCCTTTTCTCTGCCTACTTTCTTCAGTGCAGTTATAGCCAATGTCCTTCTGTTTCTGTTTGATTAAAATATTCTAAGGTAACAGAAAAATGGTCACTCTTTCTATAGGTGTTTCATTAGGCATATTCAATACTTTCTACAGGTGTTTCATTAGGCATATTCAATGCTTTCCACAGGTGTTTCATTAGGCATATTCAATGCTTTATCATACCATGGACTCCCGGTGCCCTCTTTACCACTGGAAATAGAGTCACCCGTGCCTTTAAATGTAATTATATTAGAGAACCAACTCAAGAAAACCCAGAGCCAATTCAGAAATCTCTTCCTCAAGATTCTGTTCCTCTAGAACCACTTTCAGTACCAAATTGGTGTCAGTCAGGATTCCAACTCAGAAGCAGAACCAGGAGATAAACAGTGAGATTTATTTCAAGGAATTGACTTATGCAGTGGCGGGGTCAGGGTGAGGGGGTGCTGGTTAGGCAAATTGCAAATCTATAAAGCAGGCAGGAGAATAGACTGGAACTCTCAGGCAAGGGCTGAGGGCACAGTCCACAGGCAAAATTTCTTCACAATTTCTTCTTCTTTGACTCTACTTTTAAAGACTTTCCACTGATTGAATCGGGTCCAACCAGATTACCTAGGATAATCTTTCTTACTTAAAGTCAATTTATGAATTTTAGTTACATCTGTGAAGACACCTTCAGGCCCAGCAGAGTGGCTCACCCCTGTAATCCCAACACTTTGAGAGGCTGAGGTGGGAGGATCACTTGAGCCCAGGAGTTTGGGACAACCCTGGGCAACATAGTGAGACCTCTACAAAAGAATTTTTTTTTAATTAGCAGGGCATGGTGGTGTGCCTATAATCTCGGATACTCAGGAGGCTGAGGTGGGAGGATTGCTTGAGCCCAGAAGGTCGAGGCTGTAGTGAGCCATGATGGCACCACTGCACTCAGCGTGGGAAACCGAGTGAGACCCTGTTACAAAACAAAA